CGTTCACTGTTTGTTCAGTGTTCGTTCGTTAAGTGTATACCCAGCTTAAGAGTTTGAAAAGTTATTGTTGGGATATTATAGACGATAAGAGCTTAGTAAGATAGCCTCAGTGTCAGTGTTTCTTATACTTTGAATAAAAAAAAGCGAGTGAATGAGTGAGCGAGTGCAAGTGAGCGCTTATCGGCGCATTGCTTTTCCCGCGCGTCCAGCGGTCAACGACGTTATTGCATTTCGCGGCAATGATATGATAGTTCGTTTTAAGTGGCATGTACATACAAGTGTTTTGTAAATCTTGTAAATGTGAACGATTATCTTTTTGTGTTTTGTGATTCGTGAATTGAGTGTACGTACACATTGTAACAAAAAATATAAGAGTGAAAATGAGATTAATATAGTAAAAGTTAATATATATATAAAGTAGATTATACTCGGTAAACATCAATTATAATAATGGCATTAAAAAAAATATATAATTTGTTGGTATATAGAAAATTATCGTTGCAGTTAGTAACTTGTAAATATAAGATAACATGATGAATAAATAGCCTTATATATAATATATTCGACAAAAAACAATAACTTATATGTAATAAAATACAAATTTGATTTACTACAGAATCACTTTGTTTAATCATGAAAATTTGAAAATGTAAACGTCTAAAGTTGTTTATACATTGCTGGACATTATTTTACTAGATTTTGAGCCCGCGCGAAGCGTCGCTTAGCGCGGGCTCAAAATCTATTCCTTTCTCCCCAAACTCACTCATTAATTAGGAGCACCAACAGAACCCCATAAAACCCAATCTTCAACTCCATAATAGCCATTTCCAAAAAATTAGTAATCTTTTGGTACCAATTTCATCAAAATCATCAACAAAAAATTAGAAAAATTTTGGCACTGGTCTTAAGAAAATCGATCCATTAATACAAAATTATCCATTAATGAAAAATTAAACTTATCCTCCAAAAATTAAAACAAATTTTGGTACTGGTTTCAAGAAAATGGGTTAATTAATACTTATTATTTCTCGAAATTTGAATAATTTCCAAACTGGTTTCCAAAAAATCGGTAACGAAAAATTATCCATAAAAAAATTCAGTTTAATATCTCAAAGTTTGCGGAAATTGGAACAATACGTACACTTATACGTACACAATACGTACAATACAATCACGTACACTGTTTTTAAACAGAAATCGGCAACCCCTTTAATATCAACAATTTTTCTAATTTAATTACATTTTTTAGTTCTTTCTACCTTTATTTCATATATAAATGTTTAAGATTTGAACAATTATTTCCCAAAAAACCAGTTTCCAGAAAATCGGTGACAAAAGATTATACACTTTATGGCAATCCCCGAAAAATTCTACCCCTACTTCATATATAATTTTTCAAGTTTCGGTCTATTAACAAATGATTTTGTGGACAGACAGACAAACAGTCGGGTTTTATATTATAGTAGTTTTTATAACCGATTTTTATAAAACCGGTTTCCAAAAAATCGGTAACAAAAAAGTAAAAATAAAAATAAAAAAAATTATTAAAAAAATTTAGCTTGATATCTCAAATTTTGCGAAAATTAGAGTAATTACGTACATTTTTTTAAACAAAAATTGTAAACCTTTTTATTATTAGCAATTTTTCTAATTCTATTACATTTTTTAGTTCCTTTTTTTCTACCCTTACTTTATATACAATTCTTTAAGATTCAATCAATTAATTCCCGAAAAATTGGATAAATTTCGTAACCGGCTTCCAAAAAGATCGGCAACAAAAAATTATACACTTTATAGCACTTTCCGGAAAGTTCTACCCTTGTTTTATATATAATTCTTCGAGATACGGTCAATTATTTCCCGAAAAATTGGAAAAATTTTTAATACCGGTTTCCAAAAGATCGGTATCAAAAAATTATCCATAAAATTTATTCATAAAAAAATTCAGCTTGATATCTCAAAGTTTGAGAAAATTGGAGCAATCACATACATTTTTTTTTAACAGAAATCGGAAACCCCTTTACTATTAGCAATTTTTCTAATTCTATTACATTCTTTAGTTCTTTCTACTCCTATTTCATACATAATTCTTTAAGATTCGGTCAATTATTTCCTTAAAAATTGAAAAAATTTTGGTACCGGCTCTCAAAAAGATCGGTAACGAAAAATTATACACTTTATAGTACTCCTCGAAAAATTCTATCCCTGTTTGATCTATAAATCTTTAAGATTCGGTCAATTATTTCCAGAAAAATTGTAAAAACTTCTGATACCGGTTTCCAAAAAATTGGTAACAAAAAACTATATACTTTGTGGCATTTCCCGAAAAATTCTACCATTACTTCATACACAATTTTTTGAGATTCGGTCAATTATTTCCCGAAAAATTGGAAAAATTAAAAAAACCGGTTTCCAGAAAATCGGCAACGAAAAACTATACACTTTATGGCACTCCCCGGGAAATTCTACCCCTATTTCATGTACCCTTGATAAAAATTCGGTCCACTAACGAATGAGTAGTTCGCGGTCAGACAGACAGACAGACGTCCGGTACTTATATATATAGATATAGATGTAAAATCTGCATCTATATTTGATAATATACTCCGTCAAAGTCATATTGTACATGCAGTCATATTGCACAGATACAAGTTATATTTACCATATTATACACAAATACACTGCAAACACACGACTATATATAGATTGCACATATAAAATAGTAAAATTATAGAAACATTTTGTATATATGTATATTATTATTGACTATATAGTAAAATAATTGTTTATTTAATATATATTTTATATATTTGTTACATTTCATTTATATTTCAATGTTGTGACCGATAATGACACGTGTGCAAAGTGTTACTATTACGACGCTATTGACAATCACTTTGTAAGTTAATAGAATAATAACCTTTTCTTTGTCTTTTACGATGTTCATTAACTCGGTATTTGCTTCAAAGGCGTAAATTAATTTTACAGACAGAGATGAATTTTATACGAAGTTGATCAACGCGAATTACCAAATCAAGCTTCGGCTGAAGGTTCTTTAAATAATCAATGGGCTCCAAGTAAAAATTGTGTACCAAAGGAGCTATCATCGCCTTCATTTCCAGCATAGCAAATCGTTGACCTACAAATGGTTCATATCGTAATCTGTTAATATAACATGGTATTATTATACATATCAATATATAAAAACTACAGTTTACCGATGCAGTTACGTGGACCAGCACTGAATGGTAAATA